AAAAAAAAAAAAAAAAAAAAAAAAAAAAAAAAAAAAAACCGAGAGAGTTCAAAATAACGAAATAGAGACCTGGGCCCCGAACCGACTAGCATCGTGTAAAACGGTGTGTGGCGTTCTTTTTTTATTCAAAAACACTTGAACAGTCTGACATCGACATCATTACAGTACAGCCTGTGCATCCACACTTCACGAGTGTCTCCGTTCGACGGACTGTCCTTCTTAGGAGGGCGATGCCTTCGCGGTACGTCTGCATGCGACCGCCCCGCCAGCTTCCACGGAAATCTCAATGTTCTCTATTTCTACACATAAAAAATCGTGGCGCGAAGCCGAACTAGGGGGAGGGTGCTTCATTAAAAATCGTGGCGCGAAGCTTCAAAAACACCCTCCCCCTAAGAAAGGCATAGAATTGAAGCTTCCCGCCAATGCAAAGTGGCCAACTAAATGGCCAACAAATCATTTTAAAAATCTTCTACTGGTCGAAGGGCAGCTACCTCCACGAAAACGAAGACAATCGACACTAGCACTCGATACGGAAAAGAATCAACGATTGACGTTTGTCACGGACGGCCGCACGTGGTCAAAAACCAAAGAGCACAGGCGTAAATCAGTCCTAGTGGTCCAAGCCCCTGGAGACAGTGGAGAGCATGTTTTTGCCACCGCCATCTTTGTCGATTTTTAAATTCTTTTTCTACTCATCGAAATGACGCACAAAATTATGGGCATATACCTTATCTGCTCAAGAGTTCACAGAAAAAATAAAATATGTAGGTACTTTTATATGGGTTCGGACATAAGGCTACTGTCGGACGTTTTGGCCGATTGCCCGAGCAGACAAGCCTGGATGGTCAGGGGGGTCCCAAACATCCGATCAGGGGGTCCCTGACGTCCGATCAGGTTACCGTAACACAGCTTGCTTTTCAAATTGTCATTTTCTTAGGAAAGGCATCCAGTTCAAGTCCGGTCGTAGGCTCCATCTCCGACGAAACAGTTTGTCACAGCCCCTCGTTTGTTGTCCTCTTCTCGCTCTCTGCCTACGGTTTACCGGGCAGTTCTATTTGACGATATATATATATATATAGATATATATATATATTTGACGATATATATATATATGTCATTTTCTTAGGAAAGGCCTCCAGTTCAAGTCCGGTCGTAGGCTCCATCTTA